GCAAGTAAATAAAATCAGAACCTTTGTAGTCAGTGCTTCAGCATATATCGTTGAAAATAAAAAATGTTTAAAAGGAGGCCAGCTCTTCTTCCTGGTGGGCTATTCCACATTTGGCTACTATTAAAACACTAAAAGGACATGGTGTAGATATTGAGGTATGTATCTGCCTGTTTTAAAATCTCATCTACAATCCCAAGTGCATCCTAAACCACCCACACACAAACACCACACCCCTACCAACACATACACTCACCAAATCTGAATAGGGTGGCAAGGCAATCCTAGTAACCGTAGCCTTGGAAAAGAGGCTCATGTGGCGCAGAATCCGTTTGGCTGGTAAAGCTGGCGATTTTGTTCTCTAGGTGGCGCTATTCCACTTTTGATGAGTTGATTAAATTCCTTGCAACTGTCCGTTTATTTTCTATTTCCGTCATATAAATCTTAATTGTATATGTACTAGTTGTAATTAAATGACAGATTGCCTTCCAGTTTGATTTTAATAAGCTATTTTGAAGTAAAGTGACTTTTTCACCACTTGATGTCACACATTTCCTAGTTATGTTGTCTTAGAGTTAAGGAATCTTCCTTTGCCTGACCTCCCTTTAAAATGCAGACGCATGTAAGAAACACAGAGGGGCATCATAAAGCTTCAGCCAGACCAAAGGAACCAAGATGAAAGCACATTTAAGAGCTACTAGGTTCTGCGAGCTCTCAAAATCAGGACATTACTACCATGACAACCAATGAAAAGTTCTTTCAAGTGAACCTTTGGGGAAAACTACATAACACATGTAATTCTCTGGGCTCTTTGGAAATAAACTTTTCTTTTATGATGGCTGTCATGGAACCTTGTGAAATGACTTTGCTCCCCCACCCCCAGTCAGTCTGCTGTCCTACATCCACCCCCCAATTCATCTAATGAAACTCATGCTTAAACTTCAGACAATGTATAGATGAGACATCAGTGCAATTAGCCACTTCTTAGCATCCAGTGTTATCGGGTCAGATTTGTTTCACCAAAAGCTTAAGTGTCACAGAGTTTGTACTTGAATTTGAGTACTTTCATTTAAAGAAAGTTCCCACAAAGTATCTTCTTTGACAAGATACTCATGTTTTTCTTACAGAAACAAGAATACCTTCCAGTTCACTTGAGAACATGCCCATTTACCACTCCGTCACCCCCATACGTTTTCCAAAGTCCATATATTAGGGAGCTCCACTGTTCCATAGCTATCATCAATAATGATTCCATATATTCAATAACTAGGTCCATGACTTTTCTAAGCCTTTGGTGTGAGTATTCTGGAAAGCCAAAGATGCATTCAAAGTATACAATTATTTAGGAGTAAGCAATTCTAGGATTTCCCTGGTGGCTCAGTGGTAAAGAATCTGCCTGCAATGCAGGAGACCAGGGTTCGATTCCTGGGTTGGAAAGATCCCCTGGAATAGGGCATGGCAACCCACTCCAGCACTCTTGCCTGGAGAATTCCATGGAGAGATGAGCCTGGTGGGCTACAGCCCATAGGGTCACACAGAGTCAGACACAACTGAAGTGACTAAGCAGCAGCAGCAGCAAATAATTTTATGACTTAAGAGGAAGTTTAAGGAGACTTTGAGGACACACATGTCTAAGCTTAAAAATACCAAAGCCTTCCTCTGTTTCCTAGGGTTAAACCCCATGTACAAATGACATACGGATTTCATTTGCCAACATCATTTACTATTTAACATGACTCCATCCTAAACAAAGTAAATGGATGCAGAGTGTAACCAAGAAGTTCACTTACTCACTTTTGAAGCCCATCTGGGCATGTTATTCATCCTAATAAAGAAAATTTATCATAATACAGTTAAACATTCAAATGATTTCTTCCTCCATGAAGCAACAGCTAGCCGTTTGAAACCTAGAAATTCCCCGGAATTTTCTCCTCCATTCCTCTTTTAAAATGCAATTCACGGCTTGAGATTACAGAGTCTGCCGGTGGCTGAATGACTGAACTAGATGGCTGGGAGTCCTTCAATTAAGCAGCAATTTTGCAATTAGTGGAAACTGAGTGCACCATAACAATCATTTGACAAGTTGAGACAAGTTAGCAATTACCCTATTAGAGGGATACATTCACATGCACTGGGCAGGGCTGGGCTAGGCGAGCCCCCTCACAAATCTTCTACACAGGGAGATGCAAGTTGAAAATGTTTCAGCCATTAAAATATTCAGCTTTATGGACCTCAGAAACGGCAATGGTTTTCATTTTAAAAGATACTCAGAGTTGAGCTCTCATATACTTTTCCATTCTGTTTTCATTCAAGCAGCCTAAAATCATTCTTCTGTCTGCTGTGGGACTAACCTTCTAAAACTAAAATGTTAATGAAGTACTTGTAGATTACCTTTCCACTGTGTACCTCTTTGATATTCTAAAGCTTAGTAGAAGATTAAGTCTATGGTTGAGACCCAAAGCTGCTGGTTCTTACATTCCACAAATTCACTGCCTGCATATAGGGCTGTGGATGTGTGTGTAGGACCAGGGCGGGAGCGAGGTATTGGATACTTAATAGTAGGTTCTAAAGACAAAGGTACCAAAAAAATCAGCAAGTTCTTTGCTGTACTATGAGGTGGACATGCTCAACTTGCTGCAGTTAGTTAAGCTGCAAACCAGAGCTATTTATATTTAAAAGAAATGAGATTATCAATCATCTGCCTTTTGACTATTGAAAAGCTGGAACTCCTAAAAGATTCCAGGAAGAAGAGAATAACTTACATTCTAATGGTGACCCTATTAAACAGAAAATTCAAGGATTTTGAGCCAGGATTTCAGAAATTTGCATTATTTACAGGACTTCCCTCTCTCCAGGTGAATCAAATGAACCAGCAACATTCCAGCATCTCCCCACCCCTTTTTGGCCATTTTGAGATTGAGGCAATTAACTCACATAGTATAAATGAATCATTTGAGGTGAGGTCATTGTATTTCTGGCAAATGATCACTTTCCTGGTTCCTTCTGTTTGCAAGTCAAAGTTACACTTATTGAAAAGACATCCTAAAACAGAGTTCCTAAATGCTTTATCTTCTGGACACTCAAATGTTGACCTGGTATAAGTCTTAAATAATCTTAAATATTATCTTAAAATAAATGAGATTTCCAGTTACTAATTCAGCTCTGAATAGGCAATGAAAGGCTACAAAGGTATGTGAAAAATTACTCTTGTTATTTCCCTTTAAAAAAAAATGTGATGTCTAAGTGTGTCTGCAATGTTCTAATGCTTCAAAACATGTACCTAAGTCTTGTTTATCTGGAAATCATTTCTTTCTGCTTATATCATTTATAAATAGAAAACGTTTTGTAATGACTTAAAATAGCTCTACATACATAATGCTTCTCCTGTCATAATACTTAGTACAAGTCTATATTTACCAACATTTATCACATTTTGCAAAATAAAGTGGAAGAAAAAAAAAAAGACAACGACTTTATGGCCCGGGAATTCCAGTAATGGTGACCAACGTGTTTTAAATTCCAGTAAAGGTTACGGTTACATTTCAACAAGTGTCTCTTTCCTTCCCTTACCTCCAGCAGTAAACTTGCCAAAGAAGAATCTTAAGCAAGGTATTTGCAAAATCGAGGAACAGGATAAAGGACAGTTTTAAAGGGGTGTGGTCCCTCGAGTCAAAACTTTATGATCTATTGCTTATAATAATTTGGAGTACTACATGCCATAATCTCATAAATCTTCAACCTGAAAATCATAATGTTGCATGAGGTAAATAAACACGTGTAGATGCATTAAATCAGCAATTATACCTCAATAAATTAAAATGCAAAGAATATAAGTATATACAAATATAATTTTAAGGCCAAAATGGCCTCTGACTTTATAACAGACTCACATAAACAAAGTTTTTTTTGGATAAACTTAAAAGTAAGGGGGTATTTTCCCAGAAGTCAAACCAGTTTGAAGGTCTCGTTTAATAACATTACATCCTATTAAAAATCAATATGCAGTTTTATATGCAGTAAAAAGAAATCAACGTTCCCAATTACACATGACTTTGCTTGAAAAAGATAACTGTACTAGGAGAATTAATAAACACTCAGAAATATGCTTTTCTTTGCTTCTGGCCAAGAACATTCCTGCACTCTTGTCAGAAAATATTCGCTGTTTACTGCTGACATTGAGGAGTAAGTGTAAGATCCCTGAAGGACCCGAAAATGAGATCCAGGAATCCCTAACACACCACCAACCATAGCCTGTCAAAGCTCCCCCAGCTCAAGGAAAACTTGCACTGGAGCCAGGAGGCGCGACGAGTCGAAATTCACCCGAGTCGGGAGTCAGAAGCGTCATTCAACAAGTCCCTCCTACCAGCTACCGAGGAGATCCCGCAAAGCCATCTCTGACCACTTCCCCACCCCCCAGCCTCCCGCCCCTGCAGCCGCTCTGGGCAGCTTGGCCGGCAGAGGGCACCCTACACCTTCCCTAGCGCCGCTCTCCCCACCCCCTTCCTCGCGGCCCCTCCAACAGTCCCTCCACCCCCAACGCACAAACAGCATCCTTCGACGGCGACTCTAGTTCACCCCAGCAGTCCCAAGGCTTTTCTTCCCTAGGGGGTGCCACCAGTCTGCAAGTCCCCTTCTCTGCCCGTCGAGCAAAGAGCCTCAAACCCTCAGCTATTTCTTTCCAGGCGCGGCTCATTCACCCATTTCCTCTCCCCAGCTCTGCATTGCATCCCCGGGGACCTACCCGAGTCAGAACATCACCCTCCGCCAAACACAGACACAGACACACATCCCTCCCAGCCCCTGAAAGCCAAAACTTTTTACTTTTCTGCAAGGTGCCTCAAGGGAGCGGCCCGGGGTGGGGAGAGGTGTGAGCACAACTAGCCCCGGGGTCCCGCAGCCCCTGTCAGGTCCGAGCTGCAGGAGTGTGTCAAGTTTCCCAAGATAAACTCGTACTGGACCCGGATACGTCCGCTTTTAACTCAACTCCTGGGGAGCAGGTGATGATGTGCAGCCCTGCGGAAGCTCCGGGACGCGGTATGCGGGCTGAAGGAGAGAGCGGCCCCCCAAAACCTAAGCAAGGGCCGCCAGCTCTTGGGAAAGACTCATATCTCAGCCCCAACCCAGTCACCTCAATCGGGCCCCCCCCAACAGCTGGCGCCCTAAATCGCTCACACGACCCCTCCTCTGCTGGGGGTCCCCGAGGCGCCGTCTTCTCCCATTGCGCAGCTCTGCGTCTCCTCTTGGCTTTCTCTCCGCCACTTCTGGGCTTCCCGGGGTCCCCTCTCTCTCGGGCGTCCTGCCTACCCCTCTGGATCGTGCGGTGGGAGAAAAAAGCTCAGCAGGAACAACTCAAAATGCCCCCTTCTCGTGGAAGGGAAGAAAAGAGTTCTGGCCTCTTCCCCATAACTTCGCCCCCGCCCCCCCCGCCCCAGCCAACTTTCCCCGGCAGACCGGCGGCTCCCGAGCCAAGCCCCACTTCCGATGCTCGCCTACCTCGGGGTCCACACAAAGCTCACGGGTCCCCGGCGGCGGAGTCACATCGTCGTCCCGCTCCTGGCCCCTGCGCCCAGCCCAGGTCCCCGTCGCGGAGCCGCTCGCCGCCGGCCCCACAGCAGCGGTGGCAGCTGCAGTTCAAGCGTCTCATCAACGCTTCCCGAGGAGGAGGTGGGGGGCGCGCCGGGCCGGTTCCTCGGCCGCGCCCGGAAGCCCGCGGCGCGACGGGGTGCGCGGGACAGCGAGCGGGCGGGTGCGCCCGTGTGCGGCGGCAACGGGGACCCGGAGCTCCAGCCTGCGCCTGGAGCGCGGGTCAGACATTATTTAGCTCTTCGGTTGAGCTTCGATTGGTCAGACGGCGCCGCCCCCCGCCCCCCTCCCCCAGCTCGCCCGCGCCACCGAGACCCGTGCGGGGCGGCCGCTTAAAGGGAACGCCGCGCCTTTTCCTCGCCCCCCGCTCGGCCCCGGGGACTCCCCGGGCTGCCCGGGCGCCCCGGACCCGCGCGCCCCCGTTCGGCCAGTCCCCCAGGCCCCGCGATGTGGCCCCGTAAGCCCCACGGCCATCCCTGGGGCGCCTCAACGGGACGCGCGCGCCACGCCCGCGGCTCCGATGGGTGACCTAGCCCCGGCCCGGGGGAACCCCGCGTCCCGGGCCCTCCGCGGAAACCCGGGCGGTCCGCGCCGGGACTGAAGGGGGCGAGCGCGCATTGGGCGCCCCCGGGGTCTCGCTCCCCTCTGTGGCAACTCCCCCCCGCTTCATCCCGGCACCTAAGTTCTGTGGGAGAGGGCGTGCGTTTCCCGGGCCACGGACACACCTTCCCGCACCTTCCCGCACGACGGAGCTTGCCAACGCGAGCACACAATGAAATCGCACAGAGCAGAGGGGCTATTGGTTTACTCCGCTGCCTTAAACACGCCGCGGCTTAAACAGAGTTCGTGCACTGACCTCTCCGGAGTTTGCCTAATAGGAATCCAATCAAGATAATAACGGCATTTTTTATTCATGAACACCCCCAGATAACGTTACACCAAGTTACTTGCTCCAGTCGGGAAGCCGAGGAAATGACAGACCTCACTCAGCCACACGCTTTCTAGTCGACCAAACAAGAGAAAAAAAAAACGGAGAGAGAAAGAAAAGAAACCCACCTTTTCAGTCACTACTTGTCAAAGTAAACATCAAGGCAGCTGCTCTGGGGAAGACTTCGGCCCCGAAACTCCCAGACTCTCTTCTTTTTTTCACGTTCCCTTTGGTTAAAAAGAAGGGGTGGGGTTGAGGGGAGTCTTTGGTGCCCGGTATGTACTCCTTCTGGGCTGCAGCAAAGAAGTTAAATTATTGATAGTGGAAATTGCATGGCGGAGGTAATACTCGCACCCCCTGAGCGAAGAGCTCCATTTGATCTCGGCAGAGGCTGGGAGATTTCATGCTAGCTTGTGGGGGGAGCGGCTGCGCGAGCAGCCTTCTCCGGGTGAATGGGAAAGTGGGTGGGAGTCCACGAGAGGGCTCCACGGTGCCTTGACGTGCGCCGTCATATGATACCTCCGCTGCCTCGAAATAGACACTCTAGTGCACGAATTACCAGAATCAAAATTCAGCGCATTTAAAATGATACATCTTTTATTAGAAGAGTTCCGTTCCAGGGCATTGCATGGTTCTGCAGATGTTTTCACTTCCCTCCCTAGCAAACTTACACACATAAACCAACCCTTTTAATAAAGAACCTGGGTAGCAAAGATAAATAAAAAGCCTTCTGTTTTAATGTGTGTGTGTGTATGTGTGTGTCTCGGGGTGGGCAGTTGACTCAATCCTCACCTCGCCCCTCTTCCCCCGCAGCAGTCTTTCGGGTTCTTAGTTGCAGGTAGCCAAGACCCTTGCAGAGAACTTCATATTCACTTTCAATATGCTATCGGACAAACGCTTTCAACCGTCTGTCTAGGTTCCTGCTTGAAGGCGGAATTTTCCTCCCATTAGTTCGACCAGTTCCTGCGCGAAAGTACAGACCCTAAAATTGAGAATAAGGAACGGAAAAAGACCCTGGCATTTAACTTGTAATCCTGGGACCCCCTTACGAGCATAGAAACCACCTGTGTGTTAGTCGCTCAGTCCTGTTCAATTCTTTGCGACCCCATGGGCGGTAGCTTGCCAAGCTCCTCTGTCCATAGAATTCTCCAGGAAAGAATACTGGAGTGGGTTGCCATTTCCTCCTCCAGGGGATCTTCCCGACCCAAGGATCGAACCCACGTCTCCTGCATTGAAAGCAGACTCTACCATCTGAGCCACCAGGGAAGCCTATAAAACCTCCGGGGTTACCTATTAAAATGTAGATTTATCCTCCTGAAATTGTGATTTAGTAGGGGCGGGGCAGCGTCCAGAAATTAGCATTTTAACAATCACCTCTAGCGATTGGGAAGCAGAAAATCTGGGGTCACACTTTGAGAAGCACTCTTTCTTAAGCAGTGCATATTTGGGTGTCATAGGAATCTCTCATTTCCCCCAAATTTGGTAGGCAGTTTTATGAGTATGTGCATTTCTTCTGTAATCTCAAAGGAGTCTGACCTAATCATTGCTAAGACTCATTGCTTTAAGAATTTCTCTAAACACTCCAACATTAATTTGGGAAAAGGGAAAGATTATAAACAGTTTCCTCCCCTGAACCCTTCTGTGGTTATCAAGAATGTGCTGTTGAACTGAATATGTAATATCATTATATACTCAGTTCAGTTTACCTAAGGGTTTACAGTTTTTAAAAAAAAGAGTGCACTTATATTAGCTGTTTTAGAGCTTCTAAAGACCAGTCACAGAAATTACTATTATTTTATAAATGAAAACCGGAGGCTCAGTGCCACGGAATCATTTGCCCGAATTCACACAGCTAAAATGCCAGAGACAACACTTTAATAAATCAGGAACTCCAGCTAGAAATATCCCTGCATCTCCCCACCCCCAATAAGGGAAGCTATGTTTCTTGGAAGTGTTATCAGGATGTGCGATCTTTCAGCACCTCTTTGCAAATTGTTAGACTGAATAGTCAAATTATTCAAATATATGCATATTCTTAGAGTGTCACACATTTAGCTTTGCACCTCTATCAACTTGACAGTATACATGACCAGCACAAACTACCCTACAGCACAGATGGTGAAGTATATTGTGGAATATGTAATATATGTGAAATATACAGGCTAGTTGGAAGCAATGAAGGACAGAGGTCAAGGAGTCCAGCCTGGCCCCCTCAAAAAACCTCTGTATGATTCCCTAGGATATTCCTAATGGCTCGGTGGTAATGAATCTGCCTGCAATGCAGGAGACTTGGGTTCGATCCCTGGGTTGGGAAGATCCCCTGGTGAAGGAAATGACAACCCACTTCAGTATTCTTGCCTGGGAAATCCCACGGACAGAGGAGCCTGGCAGGCTCCGTGGAATCACAAAAGAGTTGGGCACAACTTAGTGACTAAACAACAAATTGATTCCTAGGGGTGTAGGCTGAGTGCTGACACAATTTCTTTTAATATGGCAAAATAATTTGAGAGGCTAGTTTATAAATTAAAAAAAAAACTGTACTGCTTTATAAAATAAATACTGGAGGAGCCCTACCCTAAGCTCTCTCTCTATATATATATATTTATGACTTTACGATAACTTCAAATCAGTGCTTATTTTCCAACTTTAAATTTGCTTGAAAATGAGTTATTTCCCCATGTTTTTAAGCTCATTTGTAATTGTGTTCCTTCTGGAGAAATACCTAACCAGTGAATATCAAGAATCTGAGCATTCTCAATGCTGCTAAATGAGAAGTTATGGCAAATCTACCTGCTAAATTCACATTGCCACATCAGCATTTCTGCTGAAGGAAGGAGTGCTCTTATTTCTGAGACTCTGGATGTATGTATAGCCAATCTTCTTATTCCTACGCTCCCTCGATGTTACACAGATGGATATATCCTTACTTTCCAGAGTGTGGTGCAGTTTTACTGAGGAAAAGACAGACGAGCCAGAAAAGGCAAGAATATTTAGAAATAAAAGAAAACCAAATGCCAATTCAGATAAACCTTCTGATGAATCAGACCTCTGGACACTTCTGAGCATTTCCCAACTTTCTGATTTGTGATAATGGTGTTACCAAAATAATAAAAACCCAGACTTAAATGCTTGCCTATTTGCCTTAAAAATACATCTTACGTTAAAAACAATGATGCCAAGATAAAGTTGTACTAGTGTCTTGATTGGAATTCTGAATAATTTTTTATTTGATTAATTCAGGTGGCACACAGAGATAGTGTTAGAGGTCTAAGATCAAATGCTTTACAAAAATCATTTTCCTATTGTGATCAAGGGTGATGCTGAAAATATAGAGAACATATTTCTGATTCTTTTTAAAGATTGGTCTCTGACATGATTGCTGTGGGAGCAAAGATTCCAAGTTTGTAATCTGAATATTTTCTCAGGCACCAAAAGGGGGAAAAATTTCACTGCTTATAAAGAAAATGCTCTCGATTCTACTTTTGTGGGACTTACAAAATTAATCTTGAATTAATAAAAATCTCTATTTTTGGTTAGGGTCTAATCAATCCTTCTAACACAATATTCTAGAAGGATAAAGGTCAGGGAGAAATTCCCATCTATTCTTGTCAGGAAATATGAACTAATCCTCATTACCCAAGTGGGAGCAGAGGCAGTAAGCTCAGATGTGACATTGACATATTTTTTCTATTAATAATTTTAATTGGCTGAGGTCAATTCTACTATCACTATAAGCATTTTATGTTTAATTATGTTTACTTAAGTTTCCTAGTTACCCCTGTCTTCAGTCTTCCTTGCAAAAAAAAAAAAAGTTGTCTAGGATCAAATGAACTGACCTCAAAAACTGCTGAAAATTGGCATAATGGAAATAAGTAAACAGAAAACTCTCCTGCTGAGCAGAGTGGCAAAGATGTTTTCAAATTCATGATCTATGGTTTCAAAGGGCCAATCCAGTGTGAAACAGTCACTCATAATCCTCCAAATTATTGAGCAAGGCCCGTCCTGAGAAAAATCTTACAGGAGAAATAATATCCCTGTTCACTAGATGGTACCTTAATATGAGGTGTACTTCTTACCCATAAGCTTTTCATGAACCATAAGAATAACTGTGTGCCATACTGAAATACATCCAAATGGGTCAACACCTGTTACAGAAATTATGTAACCAGGCATAGCCATTAGTGGCGAACAAAAGAAAAGAAGCACAGTAAGAAAATGCTAGAAGGGCCAAGATTAGGAGAGGAGCTCAAGAAGGTCAAAAACTGATCCCATCTGGGAATAATATTTAGCTGGATCAAAAAAAGCATAAAAACCATTATGAAACAACTAACTCCCAAACATATGAGAGTCATCAACTTGTAGCCCTCCAAGTTACCAGATTTTCCCTGAGAACATTTAAAAACCAATAGTGAGCAATAAATTGGTTTACTTGTTACAATGTTTCTACAAGGATAGTCAGAAGGGACCTGACTGTGGGCTTTAGGACAAACGTTGGAACTGACAATGGTAGCTGATTGTTTGCTGGTTTTGCAA